TACAACATTATCTCTTTCAGTGTTGGCTGATATCAACTTTCCAACCCACACTATCTGCAACGGTAGCGGTCGCCCGAAGGAGTACAGGGCAGATGGAGTGGGCATCCCGGCGCTGCTGGATGCGATTCTCACCCTTATGCCCCTTGATGCCTACGTCGAAAATCCTGTAAGTCAAATGGCGACCAGTGATAATCCAATATAGACGATCGGGAGAGAGAGAGGGAGAGAGAGAGAGAGAGAGAGAGGAGAGAGAGAGAGAGAGAGAGAGAGAGAGAGAGAGAGAGAGAGAGAGAGAGAGAGAGAGAGAGAGAGAGCGAGCGAGAGAGCGAGAAGGCGAGAGAAAGAGAGCGAGAAGGAGAGAAAGAAGCGAGAAGCGAGAGAAGAGAGCGAGAGAGAAAGAGAGCGAGAAGGAGAGAGAGAAAGAGAGCGAGAAGGAGAGAGAAAGAGAGAGAAGGAGAGAGAAAGAGAGCGAGAAGGAGAGAGAGAGAGAGCGAGAAGGAGAGAGAAAGAGAGCGAGAAGGAGAGAGAAAGAGAGCGAGAAGGAGAGAGAGAGGGAGGAGAGAGAGATAGAAGAGAGAGAGAGAGAGAGAGAGAGAGAGAGAGAGAGAGAGAGAGAGAGAGAAAGGCGAGGGAATGAGAGAGAAGAGAAAGAGTGAAAGATAGAGAAAGAAAGAGATAGAGAGTGAGACAGAAGGCAAAAACGAGATAGAGAGAGAGGGGGGGGGGGAGAAAGAGAGAGAGACAAGGCAAGAGAGAGAGAGAAAAAGGGAGAGAGAGGAGAAAGAAGGCGAGAGAGAGACACAGAGAAGCGAGAGGGAAAGAGACAGAAATCTAGAGAGAGAGAGAAGGCGAGAGAAAGAGAGAGAAGGCAAAAGAAAGGGAGAGAGAGAGAGAGAGAGAGAGGAGAGAGAGAGAGAGAGAGAGAGAGAGAGAGAGAGAGAGGAGAATAAGGCTAGAGAGAGAGAGGAGAGAAAGAAGACGAGAGAGATACAGAGTAGGCGAGAGAGACAGAATGCTAGAGAGAGAGAGAGAAGGTGAGAGAAAGAGAGAGAAGGCGAGAGAAACAGAGTTGGGCCCAACACCTCGACAGAAGGAGAGACACGAGAGTCGTAGCCCTTGATACCTCTGGAGCTTTTGATTCGGTATGACATAAGGGCCTCATTGCAAAGCTCAAGAGCCTCGGCATAGAAGGACAACTACAGCTTCTCAGTGATCATCTCACTAACAGAAATCTCTCAGTAGTTCTTCAGGGATCAGAATCAAGATCATATCCCATCGAAGCAGGAGTCCCCCAAGGAAGCCTCTTAGGCCCTTTGATGTGGAGCATTTTCTTTGATGACCTCCTTAATCTCATACCTGAGGCAGTCGCATATGCTGAATTGGGGCCAGTAACCACAAGGAGTTGGGGCGAGTTCTTGGCCGCGTTAGAAAGGTCTCGAGGTCCTGCGTGGCTTAGGCTATGAGGCGTTCCGATAAGGGGCCCCTATAAGGGATCAGGACGCGAAAAAAAACTAAAATGCCGCTTAAATATTTAAGCAACAGGACATGCTTGCAGGTTTATTTAGGGTGCTATGGAAACATATCACAGAGGAAATTACTAAATTAGACTGAGTACGGTATGAAAATTTTCATGCCCCTTTTAGACCCCTTAAATACACCCCTAAACAACAGCAAGGGTTACAGAGGTGATCCAGGGTGCTATGGAAAGCTATCACAGAGTAAATGAGAATGGATGTGGTTTGAGTACTCGTATACTCCTTATATACCCCTTAAACACCCCTAAATAATGGAATGAGGTAGGGTGATCGAGGGTGCTATGGAAGGCTATAATAGAGTAGAGGTGATTGGGCATGGTTTGAGATCTCGCATTCCCTCTAACTATAGTGGGCGTAGGCAAGGTCTATATAAGTACTTATATAGACCTTGGGCGTAGGTACATGTCACCTTTTCGGAGTGGCATTTTGAGCGTGACATAGACATTGGTTCTTTCTACCCAGAGAAATGTCTGCTTCGATGTTCCCCAGGGTTCCGTGTTAGGTCCAGTTCTTTTTTCTATAATAATAAAGAATAAATACTAGATTGCTTCGTCGTTCAATACGCTGACGATACCCAAATACTGCAGACTGGAAATATATCCAATATTGCAGAATTGATTGAGAAAGCAGAAAGTTTCCAATCAGCTGTCAATATGTGTTTCCGGAGGATTGGTTTACTTTTGAATAAAAGCAAAATAATGTATTTTTATTGGCTCTCGTCTTCAGATCTCACAACTATCAGATGACATAAGCAAAATAAAGATTTTTATTGGCTCTCGTCGTCAGATCTCACAACTATCAGATGATATTTTTATGAATTTTGACAGCGACCGTATACTACCCAAGACCGTGGTAAAAATTTAGGAGTCTCTTTTGTTCAATATATGTATTTTAACTCATGTAGATGGACTAAGAAGAAAAGTTAACCGTATTCTCTTTTATCTTTATAGAACAGGAGACAGCTTTGATACCTCAACACAGATAATGGTTAATCATTAGTATTGAGTCTTATCAACTATTGCTCAAGAATTCTGGGAGTAAACAAAAGAACAGACTGAGAGTCCAAAGGTTGCAAAACTTAGCTGGAAATGTTGCCGTTGGAGGCTTACGTAAATATGACCATGTAACCCCAGCTTTGAATCACTTAGGATGGTTAAATATAAGAAACATATATGACGTGTATTTTAATCTTTAAGTGCTTGCATCAGTGCTTTCCCGAGTGGTTGCTCAATCTTCATACCGTGAATGATATAACAGGCACAATTACGTACCAAGAACAAATACAGTATCAGGCACAAAAAGGATAACGGTGAGATATGAAATCAGATTCCAGCACACATAAAGAACACTGTCACTCTCTGCCTTTAAACACAAGCTAAAAAAATATCTATATCTACTGCATGGCTAAATCGAACTTTGTATAAGAAACTGTATGTAAAATGCAACCCCAAATATTTTTTTTCCTCTAATATTTACTGTAAATAAAAACAATTTTAAAGTAAAATTAGAATATAATATAATATTCCATAAATTTATTTTGTTGAAAATTTACTTTGGTACTATGTTGTAGCATGAGTTATATGTGTTTCCCACTTTATTTTAATATTGCTTGATATGTGACCATGTTTTTTGCGTTGCAAGGAGTCTAATATATTATATCGAATATATGAATTCTGAATATATACTAATAACTTAAATCAAGCCTTGTTTACAGAATTGAACCAATATATGAATATGTGATTACTTATAATTAATTGAACAGGGATAATTTTGTACATCAAACTTTGCATCCTACAAAGAATGTGGGAATCCTCATTATATCTGTTTGGATATCATTATATGATTAAGCAGAGATTAATTTCAATAATTCCTTTCAATGAAACATTTTTCATTCATTTTATGTTTAAGTTATATGCACCTGTGTATATGATTATAATGATATTTATTTGCATATTGTAATGAATACCCAATGTAAATTGGAAATAAAGTTTTATTATTATTATTATCTCTCTCTCTCTCTCTCTCTCTCTCTCTCTCTCTCTCTCTCTCTCTCTCTCTCTCTCTCTCTCTCTCTCTCTCTCTCTCTCTCTCTCTCTCTCTCTCCTCTCTTCTTCTCTCTCTCTCCCCTTCCTCCCTCCCCTCCCCTCCCTCCCTCCCCCCCTCCTTCTCTTTCTTTCCTCCCACCTCCCTTCCTCCTCTCTCCTCCCCCTTCTTCCTCCTCCTCCATCCCTCCCTCCCCTCCCCCTCTCTCTCCTCCTCCTCTTCTCTCCCTCCTCCCTCCATCCCTCCCCCCCACTGCCCTCTTCTCTCTCTCTCTCTCCTTCTCCCACCCTGCCCTGTCTCTCTCCTTCTCCCACTGCCTACACTCACTCACTTCACTCACTCACTCACTCACTCACTCACTCACTCACTCACTCACTCACTCACTCACTCACTCACTCACTCACTCACTCACTCTCTCTCTCTCTCTCTCTCTCTCTCTCTCTCTCTCTCTCTCTCTCTCTCTCTCTCTCTCTCTCTCTCTCTCTCTCTCTCTCTCTCTCTCTCTTTCAATTATCTTGTGATGAAAATCAAATTAATTGATAAATACAAAAAAATCTTTTCTTTTTTGTCAAACAAAAAGCTAAATGCTCGTCCAATTTTATAGGTTCAGCTGATGGACCTTACCGATGGCGACAAGGCAAAGGGTTTCCAAGTGCCGGTATGGGAAGAGTACCGCAAGATTTGTGACAAACATGAATCTGTACCAGTGAATTTCGAGAAGGTGGAGCGCTTTGAGTTCTATGAGAGAGCCAAGAAAGTTTATGCCATCATCCACACAGGGTATGTCTGAAAGCCTTTAAAGATCTTTCTTATGGAATAGGAGATTATGGAATAATCCATTTTATTGTTACTGGGCAATTAATGTAATTGTAGTATTTTATTTATTGTTACTGGGCAATTAATGTCATTGTAATATTTTATTCTTTGGTCCTGTTTGAGTTTCACCACAAAGCAGTCTCAGATGTGGCAAGTAATTCCATATGGTCTTCCTTTATATTAGTAATAACTAGGGGTAGTAGTCTTCCTATGATGTCCTAACCTGTTGGTCAGATAGATAGTGAACAATTCCCTGACCTTGATATATTATTTGGAAAAGAAAATGTTTAGTTTTACCTCAGATTATGGGTTCTTTTTAACTGACTTGGAATGTTCTTGGTGGATATGCTTGGCATAAAGCCATTGACAGAAATAGGATTCTTCATGATTAGAGTTGTTCAAAAGCCAACATCATTAAGCATGTTCAAAGTCTCGTTAGTAACAGTCCCTGTTTCATATATTCTACTACTTACCTTACACAGTCAGATGTATTTGCTTTTCCTTTACAAATAATCACAATGCCAAATGACTGTTCTATCTAAAAAGTGAAACTGATTGAACTCAGCTTCAACTAGTGAAAAGTGAGAAAGTCCTAAATCATCTTAAAAGTGGATCATGAAGATTATCCTTTGTTATCAGTTTTTATAAGATAGTGGACAGTGGTTAAACTTTCATGAACATTGCTGTAGAGATGAGGAACAGTATAGCAAAAAAATAACTTTTGTCAAATGGGTTTATGAAAACATTTGTGTCTTGAAAGGTGTATATGATGTTTAAAGAACAATAACAATAATAATGATATAATTAGTGACAATGATGATGATAATAATTATCATAGTTCCGACATCCACGGACAAGACGTGTAAAAGTACTGCGAGTAATATAAGAATTCAGATGATTGTATTGGAGGGGAGGTATAGGCAAACAAGATTTCCTAAGAATTAAATGAGTTTATTGCCAGAATAAATACATGGGGTAGACCATATGCATTTGACATTTTAAGAAAGAAGGGCTTTCTGACAAAAATACAGTATCTTGATGTAGATAAAGTAGTGTGTGCATCTGTAATAGCTATATTCATTAGTAAAATTTGCAAACCAGTGAGATTAGAGTTTTTGAATAGGAAATAGCTTTAGATATATGAGACAAAATCAAGGATGAAGGGAAGCTGACAAAAAAAAAGGCCATGAAATTTCACACTTCCTTTTTAGAAATTTGTACTTCTAATTATAAATTGAAGAATTAGTAAAACAACTTTTCATGAGAATAGGTAACTTTTAACAAAAAAAATTGTCACAGTATTTCTAGGTGTCATTTTCATATGTAATGAAAGAAGATGCATCAGTGGAAGGTACTGACAAGGAAAAGGGATCAGAGAAGAAGAAAGAGATGTAACTTCCAGCCTAATAATAATGATCTCTGTGACATCACACTTTGATGACTTGATGTTACAGAGGTCTATAACTATAATGCTGCATTCAGAACTCCTTGTCTTGCTCATCTAGACATCATGTCAGGACCAGTTGGAAAATGAAGCCATGTAAGGAACCTCCAAGGCCTTCATTGCCCACTGTGCAACCCGCTCGAAAGTAAACATCTGCTATTTTATCATACCAGTGGTGCTATTTTACTCACTGCATAGGTTTTGTAACTCCTTTCATACATGGTTAACTGGCCTGCAACTAACAAACACAAAAATACCCTTTAATAACATCAATAAAGGGCCATAAAGTTACCTATCTATATCTTATTGTTGCTTGCAACTGCCATTGTTTACATATAAATGTTATTGTGATCTAATTTTTGTCCTGCTTGCCCTGCTGCGAGAATGGGACAAGTTGGACAAATAGACGATTTGTCCAGGATCCCAAACTAGAGGTTCTGAACAGTCAAAACACCTTGTCCAAAATGTCCAACTAGTCAGATGAGGAGTTCCGAATGCAGCATTAGTGCAGACTGCTGTCCCAAACAGATGAAAGGGAATATCCCATCTCTTCATCCTCATAATTCTCAAACTATAAGAGTTTCTATAAAAGCATCACACAGCTGAATCCAAATATAGATGAGAAATTAGAATTGGTGATTAGGACTCCATATCAGTAACATGTAATATAGTAATTATTTAGCAGTGTTTAGCAATCAATCATTTAGCATTATAGTGCAATAATATACATTTTTTTTTCTTTTCTTTTTCAGAGAAACTGCAGCCTATGCCAATATTCTCCTGAAACGAGGAGTCTGCTAGTCACCCATGTGTACTTCTCTGGAAAATGTAGTTAGCCTCTGTCAGAAACATCACTATAACCTTCTTTCAGTCTTAGAATGTGGACTTTGAAATTTAGCATTTGTTAAATATAGTAGGTATTCCATAAGATGTTAACACTTTAGTACTTTGAAAAGCTTGTAACAAATTAACCCAAAAAAAGCAAAAACAGTATAGTTTGACTTTGCATTTTTCAATTGTATTCCTTGAAAATTTTGACTTTATTGTAAATATCTGTCTTCAGAGTTATGCCAAATAACAGGAATGTTTGTGGCACAACACTTTTTTGGAGAATAAAGAAGAAACCAGAATCTTTTCTTTAATGGCCCTTTTGCAATTAAGGCCAAGGTATTACATTCCCATACTTCTCAGAATTTAATCAAACTTTAAATTGATAACTGCCTTGTATGTGTATGTTAAGTGATGAAATAGTTACTAAGGAAATAACAGCTATCCGTTATATTTCTTATGCAAGTATTATGATATTCCTCAGTATTTTTCATGTAACACATACTCAACTTCTATTTTCTGTAGACACAGGAGATAACAAATAATTAGTCACTACCACTGTAAATCTCTTGTTGTTATGTCAATAATTCCTTTTGAATACTACAGAAACATGGCAATCTTTCTTCCTTAGTATTTTAATTCTTATTTGCAGCATTTCTTATTGCTTTAAGTAAATTTTATAAGTCCCTCTACTTAAAAAAAAGACCTTTTGTATGGTTCAACTGAATGGATTCCTAATTAGGAGATAGATAGGAGTAATAAATAAGAAAAATCCTTTGAAAATACTTTATTCTTCTGCTGCTATATCCTTGTACATTTCATTACAAAATTACGGGTTGGCTGCTTGGAAGTAGAAAATTACAGCTACTCACATGACAGGTATTGTCTTCTTGCACAGTGGTAAATCCAAAATAGAAATTATATAAACTTTCTTGTTCTGCTAAAAAATATAAAAAAACTACTGTGACAGATTCTGTGATTAATTTTGTGTGTGCATGCATGCGTGTGCGTGTGTATATATGTATATATGTACGTGTGTGTGTGTGTGTGTGTGTGTGTGTGTGTGTGTGTGTGTGTGTGTGTGTGTGTGTGTGTGTGTGTGTGTGTGTGTGTGTGTGTGTGTGTGTGTGTGTGTGTGTGTGTGTGTGTGTGTGTGTTTGTTTGTTTGTTTGTTTTGCGCACACTTGCTTGAGGGTACACAAGCCCATAGGTGTGTGTACATGTACATATGCCTATGTATTACTCATGCAACTATTAATCTGCACTTCCTTATGTGACTGTGTTCAGGTATGCAAAAGTGATTAATTTTGTGTCTATATGCAAGTGTATTTTAATTGAAATATCAATATCAGTGAAAAAAAAAATAATGAAAGCCAGATAATGATATAGTGTTTCTTTCTTATTACCTGTCTTTACAGCAAACAAAAAAAATTATTATAGCTTTGCCTAGTGAGGATTTATAAATTCATACCTTCCATGTTCCTAAACTGCAGGTTGGGCAAAAAATATAGTGTGTGCAAGAAGACAATACTCTTCTAAATCTCCCCAAACAGGCACTGAACATACATTTCAAAGCCCTACACAACCAATTCACAACATGAGGAGTTAGAGAAAGTAAATAGGAAACAGATAACCACTTGACCAATACCTTCAGTTGCAATAACGTGACATTTGTGGTGGCAGTTTTTCACATGTCACCAGACTTCATAACCTGAAACATTTGTGCATATGAAAATGCTTTACATGTAACAGCAACCGTAACGAAGCTTCTATTAGACAATTTGGAGAAGTTCGGCTTTCCTAACATACCAATACAAAGCAAAACAATTACACATTTGCACATTCAGTGTCCTTAAATCACAGTACATATCAGAGCCTGAAATGGGGGGGGGAGGCATGCTTTTGGCATCCAGCATGAAGTTATAGGTTGTGAACAGGGTTTCCACTGACATGAATATAAGTTTCCATTATCAATGGAGAAATACCTTGTATGACATGAACAATAATTACACATATTGGTGTGGCAATGACTCAAAAAATCACATATCTCCTCTGAATGTTAGTCCTCTGGCTAATAGGGACAGGACAACGACTCTCTAGTGAGAATCTTTCCTGAGTACAGGTAGCTTAATGGTAACTGCTGCAAGAAACAAAGAGCGAACGTCATCACTCTTATGAGGAGGGGAAGTAGTACATATAATACCATTTATAATACATTCACTATGTGTCAAATATATATGGATTATAAATATATATTTGCATTTCAAAACTGATGACTTATTAATAAAACTATATGCTGGAAATTTCTCTTCTTTTCATAAACTTGACTTACCATCTTCAGGACATATTAAAATATTAATTACCAAGCCTAATTTCTTTGGAAATACATAATTTCACTATTCAAATAAAATATCTACTTCGGCAATTCACTTAGGAGTCAAGATATAGAACAGGGATAAAGTAATTCATACTGAACTACTCTGGAACTGCAGTTATTTAAATACTTCCCCTATCTCAAGAAATCTTGTAGCCACGCGGTAAGTTAACAAAAGCAGAAGAATACAACACACTAAAGAAATGGGACCATCTTCCTATAGGTATACATAGAAAATTAAAGACACCTAACCTTACATTTGGGATACAAATTCACCAGAAACTCTTGCAAGTTAATAAAGATGTGCACAATTCTCAACTGTTAGGTAAGATGTCTTCTGTGAACTCCAAATAAATCCAACATCCTACATAATCAGTGGTGAATCACACCATAAAACAGAACCAGAAGATTGGAGCCTACAAAGGTAACATGTTACAATGAGGATTTAATTACACAACTTGTGAAATCAAAGAAAAACCAAACAACTAATGACTACATGCATACATAATGAATCTTTGAAACAAACCCAACAGAACACATTAGATACATTGAATATATATTTACCATATTTACTGCTGAATACAACACTAATCAAAACCACGTAATCAAATAAATCAATAACTTCCCACTATACCTACCTCTATATATATCTTTTTTTTTTAACACAACTACATTAAATAGCACATCCACCTACACATGAAAGCTCTCCTATAATGTAACAGGGCATCTTCAAATGTCTCTCTTAGACTCTTTAGTGGAACTTAAGACTTGCTTCCCATAGCTGCAATATAAGCACAAATGTAAGCAATGTAAAATAAAGGCACAGAGATGGCATTGACCTTTTGGCGAGTGAATTATCAGCCTTACATTCCAAATTTGAACACCCCACATCAGTCAATAAAACTGGAAAAAGAAACAGAGGAGACACTGAATAACATCAACATACCAGTTTTTAATAAATAACATGTATAACTCCATTTCCGGCAAACAGACGTAGCAGTGACGAGGTTTAATGGGTTGTACACCCTTTCGATACCATGGCTTGGGTACAATAAACACAGACAAACACATTTTCATAGTCTTTGGTTAGCCTAGGGCTATGAGCCAGACAGATATAAATGCCTGTCTGAAATCACACCGACCTGCTACCTAGTGTCTTTCATAGTAACAAGCCTCGAATTCCATATTGCCTGATAAAACCAGGTTTATAGCCAATCCTCCAACCTGTGGAGTATGGCAAATATTCTCCTGGGTGTTGGAGGTTAATGTTTAAGCTGACTTTCTTCAATGTTAAATTACAGGAGGTAATCATGTGAATGAACCAGGAAGAGAGTTGATTCTGCATTACTCTTCAATCACCCACAGAGATAGTTTATAATTCAGAATCAATCCCACTTAATCTGTACTGCTTGAATCAATGCACTGCATGAAAGGGCTGAAAAGAAGCCGTACAGCTTAAGGTGGATTTACCCTTTTTGAAAACCCTCAATAATAGACTAGTTAACGTCTTTGCCCAATATGGCCACTACTTGGCTACTTTCCGCTTCTGACCCCTGACGCATGGAGGTATCCTCAGAAACTCTCTAGCCAAGTTCATGAAGTAAGAACACTAAAATCTAGTTAATCATTTCTCAAGAATTTAATGTGATGACTTTAATACTGTACCTATTGTAGAACAAACAGTTAACGGAATAAACATACCTTCATACTTAAACAAATAATATATCAAATATAACGCTTTCAATCAATTTGCATTCCTATCAATATTCTACTGGAAACATGGTATCACATTTCTTCACAGAATTGAATTTATGTTACCTGACTCATAATAAATGTTCATTACAGTCTCACTAACCATGATAAGTTCTTGTTATATTTTAGCATTCTTACACCCACATACCTGACATCTATGAGAGCTGAAGTGACTGGAAGATTTTTCATCCTAAAATCTAAATACTCTTGAAAACAGACACTGATCAATGTCCTAAATCAGCAATGCAAAGACTGCTATAAAAATATGACCTTGGATTATAATCAATATACAAAAGTTTGTCACTTTTGTACCGATAAAATCAATAATCATTTTGTGCAGTACATTAAAGTACAAGACAATATTTGAATATTATAAGCATGCATCCAGATTTAATAGCACATTTACAAAACATGTATTCCATGAAATATATATCTAAAAACACAATATTTAGTGTTTACATGTTTCAAGAAGCCATGGCACATAATAAGTACATAAGGATATCATTTATCTTAGTTTATGTATGAAATTGTGAAGCTGCCATGTACAATTCCTACCAAAATATATGGAACTAATGTCCATTCCATAGAAAATCTTGATTTTGCCTTTAAAGGAACTGAACATGAATTAGGAAACGAACTATTTTCTGAAAATGGAAAAATGTTGTGCAGGTAGCTACCATCAACTCTACGGAGTTTCACTCACCAATATCAAATACATACTGGACAGTTAATATTTTACAGAAATGACTTTTAACCATCTCCTTTTATGTATGAATCATCTAGTAAAAATTGATAAAAAGACAGTATACAGTATTTACTCCTAAAGTAAACAACTATTAAAAATGTATGTTATGTAATAGACATTTTTGGTTTGTACAGAGATTAGTCTTTTGGTGAGGTGACTTGTCAATATCAAACATGTGTTGAAAAGGAGCACTGCTGAGGGTACAGTGGTAGCCTAAATATTTATGTGTGCTGACAGATTTGATGACAGGCGTCATCTGCTAGCTCCAGTGACTTTATAGCAGCTGCACAGTGTATACAACCACATGGCATACACATACGTATACATACGTACGCATGAGACGTGCTACGAAGATGGGAGAAGGACGTAGACACTGTTATACGGACGGCAGGCAATACGGGGCACGGGGCAGAACAGCACAACATGGCATC